TTTGGGGGGGGGGGGGGGGGGGGGGGTGACGCCAAACCGTTGCTTGTCCTAGCCTGTCGACACGGATAGCCGTTCCTGCTACTCGTAGAGACGCGCCGACGTTCGGGCGCTACTTTCGTGCTCCCTGCACGGGGAACCTGGGTTGTGAAGCGGGTTTTTCTCTGAACTGGATTGTCGCGGGGTGCGTCATGAATCACTGGGCTTGGGGAGTATTTTCTCGCTGGCTGGAAATCGGCGCCAATTTTTAAGAACATGTTGCTTTGAGTTCAGCCCATCCTCGCCACGTCTGGGTATCTTTCAACATGTAGTGGTGGAGAAAGTAAAGTTTTCGCTAGCGTGTAAACGAGTAGATTATTGGCGCGTCCCCCGACGCACGCGACTCCGATGCATGTCATGGTTCTTGGGAGTGTCGGTTGCTGAGGAGACCACACGCTGCAAGGAGGCCATCAAGTGGTTGCCTGACTTTCGAGAGATTTGTTTGCCGCTAAGTTTTTGCCGCTGTAGTCATGGATAGGAGCCCATCCTGGCCGTAGTTGTGGATTACAGCCCCTGATGAACCAACACGCTGAACCCCTCGGGGGAAGATATTTTCGTGTCACGAAATGTGGCAGCTGCTGTATCCAAGGAAAAGCTAGCGTGGCGATGCACGTGACTTGCACTACTCTGTATGCCACAGGTGTTTTTTTTTTTTTGTAATCGGTTCGTCTTCGCCGCCTATGATACACCAACATCGCAACCCGGGTCTTGACTGCGTTGAAGATTTCTCAGAGGGGTGTCGTTTCGTGTCACCCCAGATCCGTACAATAGCCACTCAGCGCACGGCGGTGGGGTGGGAGAGAGTATTTACTGCTGTAGAGGGAAGGCAGGAACGCTCCACGGTATTCATTGGGTTTTTTTAGGCTATTGCCGCAAGGGGCGGACTTGGCGCTAATTGGCGACAGAGGAGAGTTGTCGCCGAACAGTCAGGGTGGTTTGATCATATGCAACCATCCCATTTGCTCCGGGCGTCAATGATTGATCCCTTCTTTTCGGCATGTGCTTTTTTGGGCGCACCAGCTGTAGGGGTCAAACCGGCGGGAGGCTAAATAGGATTTTTTTTTTGTGCTGTCTTTGTGCGGCGCTTGCCTTCCCATGCTGCTGTAGTTGTCGATGGCGAGAAGGATGACGCCTTCGTCAACGTCTTGAAGTCGACTGTTTTGTGCTCGAGATAAAATTTTCCAAAAACTGAAGCTGGCGACTAATTAGCGCACAGAAGAACGGGAGAAGACACGTTGCCGCTGTTTCTGGCTGTCTGTCTTCTTTGTCTCGCAAAAGACCCACATTGCTTCCGTTGTCTCGCTACAAATTAAGTACGCACACTCGAAAACGTTCTTCTTGATGCCCCAACATTAATTCCCAAGCTGTACTGGAGGCTGGGCTTCGCGGCCGCGTCGCGGCGTTCTTTTTACCCGACCGTTGTTCCAAATATTGTTTAGTACATAATTAATGTAGGCACACACAACATGACACACATTTTCATCCGTTCGGTGTGTGTGTGCTTTCTTTTCGTAGCGTTGACGCCGATGAATGCGGGCGGCCCGTTGCTGTTTATATACATGTATGTACAAGATGATGGGAGCAATGTGGTGTCTGTCTACGCGACTCACCCCCGGGGAGTTGTATCGCACTGCTGCTTGTGACTTCATCCTAACATGGACATTTCATGAGCAATGTGGCGTATAATGCTGAAGGAATAATAATTTCACGAGAGGTTGTTCCGGGTTCCGGGTCTGGCGCCCATCCGTACCGTTTTCGTGTGGGGACACATCATACATACACAGCAGTCGATGCCTATGTGTATTTTGTAAAGGACGCAACAACAAAACAAGGTCCAGCAGGCGGTGCGTCACCGAGCGCCCCTTGCTGTTACTCTTGCATCGAACAGGTATACAAGTTATTTTGTTCTCACTCGTCGCTGAGGAGGTTACATATAGTAGATAGCGATGCACATCAAATCAAGAATAGCTTCTGTATGTCAATAGAGCCATGACCCCCGCTCCGCAGTTGCAAACGAATCCAGAACAAAAATAAAAAAGAATAAAAAAAAAACTCTCTCTGTGGTGGTCCGTCCGGCGGCCGGTGATGAGCCCGCGTGTTTGAATAGTCTACCTGTTGAAATCTTAAATCACACATCAATTGGCGACGCCGCATCACCGCCCTTTTCCACTAGCGCTGTCTTGGCCCTTTCACCGATCGTACTCTGGCGTCGGTGGCCCACCCAGAGAGAGAGAGAGAGAGAGAGACCGGGGGGAGAGAGCCCAGCGATTGAGGAGGAAGAGGCGAGGTTTCGAATTTCAAGATCTCACGAGGCTGTGCTTCTTCCGAGCGCCACTACGAGAGAGAGGGAGAGACAGAGAGGGTTAGAACGACCCGACTCGCTGGGAGAGGAGCAAGTGAGAGGAAGTGGGGTTCTAGCTTAGCCCCATGGGGTCAAAGGCGGAGGAACCTGGTGGGGGGGGAGGGTCGATCGACATCCACCAGGCGGTAGCGCACAACCGGGAGGACCAGATCAAGCAATACGTCGATGCTGGAGGAGACTTGGACAGGAGGGACGGGAACAATTTGGCGCCATTGCACATAGCGGCCGCGGGGGGGTTCTGCAACGTAGTCGAGTTCTTGCTCATGCACAAGGCAGGGTGAGTGGGGCCGCGGTGCTGCTGCTGCTGCCACGGCATCGGTGCGCATGCTACGGCGGCTGTAGTACGGTGGGGCGCGTGTGATTTCTTGTTCGTTCTCTCTCTGCGTACCTCATAGGCAGTCTAGGGCGCAGCTCGTTGCCGAGAACACAGGTTTAGACAGCCAAACAAACACGCACACTCTTTTTTTTTGCTTACAGCTCTCTCTCTCTCTCCCCCAGCGCATGCGGCCCGTGATACGAACGCACCAGCTGTGTCGGGGCAGACGGGAAACTTTGGTGCTGCTGCCTTCGTCGTGCAAAGGGATCTACAGTCTAGAAAAGCGAGTGGTGTATATGTACATGTCGCCGTGGCAATCAATCCACAGCAGCAGGCATGGCTCATTCATCGTTCTCTCTCGTGAGTGAGTGGATTGATTACCTTCCACGGGGCCGGGAGCAATTTAAAGCGAGAAACAGCACACCGCGGTACTGCTGTGCTGCATGCGTGCCACCACGGGGTTCTGTCGGTAGATGGGCGTGCTAGTAGGCCCTCCCTTCGTTGGATCGAATGGACAGCAGTTTTTGTTCGCATTGCAACACTTCAGTTGCAACACTGCACATTCTTCCAAGTTGGCTGGTCTGTCTCAAAGGTGGCGTACAGGCGGCAGAACCGCCTGTTTTCGGTCTCGGTTGGTTGTTGACGTGTGCCCCCGATCCTGTTTTTCTTTCGTCTGCCGCCTGGTTAGGCCTGCAAAACCCGTGGTGCAGCAGCATTGAACGCACTCGTGCTGCAGCAGCATTGAACGTACATTTCTTCTTCAAGTCGGTAAAGAGGCGAAGGTCCATTGCCGTCGAACGCACGGTGCGCACAACCATGGTAGTTCTCGGGCGCGTTCGCGTGCTCTTTCACGGCGTGCATGTAGATTATTTTTTGCTTTTTTGCACCGCCGCTACAGCAGTGTGCATATTAAATGTTCATGTATTGTCCTTCACATCGGCATCCGCACGCTACAAAGGGACACCTGTATGAGGGCATGTAGGCTGCGTGGCGGTGCGGCGCGTCACTTGCAGCTTGTTCGCCGCCGTATCCTCCCCCCTCCGCGCGCGCAGTAGCGTTTTCTCGGCGTACTCTCTACTACAACAGTTTGCAAACTATACAACACCTAGTTTCCACGTAGTGGCCGCGTGCGTGAACTACACACGCCCCAAATAGCGAAGGGTACACATGCATGGTACCCGTTATCTTATTTATTCCGCCGTTGCTACATGTACGTTGGGCGCTTGGTTGACGCATAATTGACTTGCTTGAACGGTAGGCTCGCCGCTCAAAAGGGGTTTTATCGTCACCGGGCGTTTCTTCTCTGGAGATCTGACGGACCAAAGACCAAAGCGACATGAAACGTCTCCGCGTACCTTTTTCTTTAACGATGCCATTTACTTGTCCGAGGACCCTCGCCTCGGCTTCAAGGATGCCTTATTAGCCGACAAGAGAAACTCCCGACTGTGCTGTAGTCTATCCCTCGTGGGTGAGAGATGATGCCTCGTGGGCGCGAGGTGATTTGACGTTGCTTCAATAAATCGCTACAAGCCGTCTTTTTACGTTCTCAGCCGGTTAGTGCGGTCGATGGTACAAATATTTATTATAGTTAAGGAAACAGACACACTCAAGTCCAGAGAGTCGTCCAGTGTCGTCCGACAAACATCCTTCTCCCCATCGTGGTTGGTTTGCTATTCCACACCCCCACGCATAACAGGGAGGTGACATGGACAAGATAGATGGGATAGGGAAATATGTGTGTGGTGAGCCACGTTGGGCAAAGTAGGAAGGGACGATTGGCCATCGGTGATGGGTCCAATGCTCCGTCCTCCCGAGGACGAGTGGTCAGTGGGCTAGCCGCTACAGGAGTGCGAAACATGAGATCCCCCCCCCCCACCTTCCCTTTGTATCTTCCTGTTACTATGATCTTCGTTGCTACAGGGTGGACGTGACGAGCAAAATCGGGCACTCGCCTCTTCACCTCGCTTGCCGATTCGGACACCTTCCCGTCGTCTTGCTCCTCCTCGCCGAGGGTGCGGAGCTAAACGCCAGAGATGCGGATGGGAACTCCCCTCTCCATAAGGTATGACGCGAGCAGCGACCGGGTCATGAATGTGCGACCACCTTTGTCGAGCGGCCTCTAGGCGGAAAACAGACTCGAGCGTTCGGGGACTTCGTTATCCTAGACGCCGCCCTTCCGGATCGCCGTTGTCATAGTTGTTCGAGCTACGTTCATGTAGCAACATCTACAACCTATTTTTTCCATGTCGTAGTCTAACGCGGGGTGTTGACGATATTGCATGGTGTGTTAACTTTTTTTATGCACGCCGTTTCTATTTTGGTCGCGCTTTGTATTGTGTGCCGAATAATTGGGACATTTTTCTCCTTTATATTCAAGTGTGTTTGCTTTTCCGTGCATACCGTTTTCTTAACTGTTGTCGCGCTTTGTCTTGTGTGCTGATTTGCCTACCGTGTCTTGTTCGACGTGATTGTTTTGGCGCAGGCCGCGAGCAACGGCAAGGCCCAGCTCTGCCGGGAGATGGTGAAGAGGGGGGCGGACATCGACGGCAGAAACAAGACCGAATACACTCCTCTGCACTGGGCTTGTTTCAAGGTGTGGTGTGCGCCGGCTTTTATTGAGACACCAGACCAAGGCGGAAACATTCGGTGTGCGTTGTTCTATCCAACGGTTTATGAGCTATGTCGGTTCCTTTGGACTTTCATCCGTTCCTAGCGTTGATCTGTTTGCTGGTTCTACGCTTGGGCCGACTGTTTTTCCGGGTCACGTCGTGTGCGGGGGTCGATTGAAACCCTTTTTTACAAGGTTTTCCATTAGCGTCTCACGCCTGTTGTGTGTCCGACGATGCGGGAACGCACTGCCGAGGAATCCCCCAGAGCTACTGCATTCCCTCATGCTGGGTCCAGCAAATGGGATCCAGCCCACGGCCCTTCCATAAATATTTACCGTACCAGGAGCGGGCACAAAAGCGACCGTACTGAATGTGCATGTTCTTCGGTGCTGGTGTTGGTGGTGAAACAGGGGCACAAAGCCGCCGCGGAGCAGCTGCTGAAGTGCGGCGCGAACATCGACGCCACCAGCTCGAGGAGAGCGACGTCGCTTTTCATGTCCACCTACTACGGACACGTGGATGTCACGTTTCTTCTCCTCGCGTGGGGTAAGTTCTGACATTCTAGCACAGAACACGCCAGCAGTTATGAACTTAGCAGTTGAGAGCTTGAGCCTAAAACCGAAAATGTATGTCCGATAACTTGTTGTCCGTAAGGTCAGGTGTTGACCCTATTTAGCAACGTGCACTAAAACCTACCGGTATGTTGTTGACGTGGGGTACAGTACCCCATCGACAACATATAAAGCGAGCCTCAGCCAATAGAAAGAGGTTCTTAAGTGATGGCGCGTTCCGTATTCGAAGAATCTCATTCTGCCACACTACCTGAAATGTGTTTTTAGAGGGCCGCTCATGGGCATTCCGTGGGTAGTCTACTTGTTTGTGTTATGTCGTTTTGACTCCGCCCTCCAAAGCCACGGAAACTCATCCTCGCCTACCCAAGCAAGGAATATTTGCGCAAACTCTTTGCGCCATAGTTTGTCGCTGTTCCATGGGCAGCTAGCTCGTTGGGCACTCCTCCCGCCCCAAGGAATATTTTTGGCAAACTCTTGGCGGCTTAACTTCGTCCGACCAGGAAAGAGCACACGCGTTGCCGTTTTTCTCCTTGACCTCACGGCGTCGTGTTGGTCCGCCTTCAATCGTCGTGTGTACGAATAACATGTATTTCTTGATTCGATACAATAAGCGCCTTCGAACAGCTACCAACCGGTTTACATGTCTTGACGATAGGCACCGATGGCTGACCTTGAATCGTCGCTGCATTCTACCATTTTCTTGATTTGGTCGGCCTCCTCTCATGGCCAACATCCCGGCCCCGTTGTTGAGTCGATAAGCCTCTTCTGGCAGCTTACAACCCATCCACGTGCTTGACTAGGCAAGCCTCCTTCCTGAACCAGCCAACATCCACCGTTTTTTGTTCTTGACGGCAGGTGCCGACGTGACAGTCGCAAACGAGGACAACGTTAAGGCTGGCGAGACCTTCCTGCCAGAGGTGCCGGAGGTGAGCATTAGCCCGCGCAAACTTGTTGCTGCTGCTGTGGTGGTGATGTTGTTGTTGTTGTTGTTGTTGGTATTCCAGTAAAACTTTGTGAACGCATTCCTTGGCTGAAGATTTGTTTTTGTTGCCCTTTTTCCTTATCTGACTTGGTCGTTTCTTATAGGTCGGAGTTACTTGTATGGACTGTCCATAGGTCGTTGAATGTTTCTCCTACACTAAAGTGTTAGTGTCTCAGTTTTTTCAGTTTTTTCATTTTTTTTTTCTATAATACGGTGGTGGGGTGGGTTCGAGTAATTTTTTTTTTGTTGTCGCGGTGATGGTTGTGGGTTTCATGTGCCGGAGGCTGTCTTTTTCCCACCGTAGACAACTGCTGTGACATTTCACAAGAGAGCTTCGCTAGACACAATTTTCAGCCTCCCGTAAGTGCTGTCTGTCTATGTTCTGCGATGACCTTCTTGGAGAACCCCTGTGGAAATGGAATCAGCTAGCTGACGCCCGGCTTCGTCTGTTTTCAGAGATAGTTTGGCTGCTGCGAGCAATCAGGTCCAAGGATATCCAACATGATTTTCCCACTTCGAGCATGATCCGCATCAGTTCAACCAATATCGCATTGTTTTGTGACCGTAACCCACATCACGGGTTTAACCAAGATCACGTCGTTTTTCTGCCCGCAGGCACAGCAAGGTCAGATAAAAGTTTTGTTGAAGGAGAGACAGCCGTTGCTGATGAAGGGGTACGAGGCCGCGCGGCGGAACATGGCGCTCATGTACATGAGGTCGGAGCGGAGCGATCTCAACCTCCGCATGTCTCAGGTCAGCCTCACTGCGGTCTCATTTGTTTTTGTCGCCTCGCCGCAGCGAGTAAACAACGAAGCTCATACGCGGGATGCCGTCCGTGAAGCCCGGAGGTGGTTTCGGGACATTAGTGACCGGTGTTCAGGTTAAAGGGCTTCGGGTTCACGAGGCAGGCATGTCGGCAACTTAGCGCAACGCACTCGTTTCATTATTTTGCGCCCAACACGAAGATAGATGCTGTTCGTTGGCGACGTTCGTTCTGCGTCTTTCTTGGATCTACCTGTCCACTTGTTGTTGTTGTTGTTGTTGTTGTTGTGGTGGTGGTCTTGTTGCCGTTGTTGTGGTCGTAGCCGTCGATATTGATCAATCCTACGCCAACGGTTGACCTGCGATGAACACAGGGCGAGGTGGAGACCCTGTGGGGCAAGCTCGCGAAACGGGAGAAAGAGCTAAACATGAGCAAGATGGGGGCGAGGGACCTGTCCCACGCCGTGAAGGCCATGAAGAGTGCCCTAGAGCAGGGACGCAACGACGCGAAGGCCATGCGAGAGAAGTTGGCCGCTCTGGAGGTACGGTGGTTGCTTGTGGCTTTGAGACTGTTCCTGCTGTCGGCGGTGTTGTTGTTGCTGTTGTTGTTGGTGCTCAAGAGCTACGATCGTATTCGCATCGGGACCACAAGTCGACCACCGCCGATGTCGCGTTTCCCGTTTGTGGTAAATTCATGGTATCTAGGTATTTTTCGTCCTGCAAACAGCGCTAGGAAGTTTTATGGATGTGGCGCTGTTCGCTTTGCTGTATTTTCTCCCAGTTCTTTAACCGAAGGTAGCGAAGCTAGCACGAACCCCAAGATCAGCGGAGATATTTTGAAATCTATTCAGTGGGAGAAAACCGGCTCGATGAATACCTGCTGTTTTTTTTTCTACTCCTTTTTTTTTTCCTCTTTCAAAGTCAATGAAGCTATTTAGGACGAAGCCCAAGAGCAGCGGGTTTACTGTGAAGTCTTTGACAGTGGTGGGAGAAAAAAAGCCGACTGGACATATGCCTTTATATTTTTTCTTCCCCAATTTTTTTTTCTCTTTCAGACCGAACTCAACGAAGCTAAGGACGAAGCGCAGGAGCAGCGCGAGCGCGCGGCGAGGGCAGAACGATCCTACGCGACGCTTCTCGAGGAGGGTCGGGGGAGAGCTTCTTCTTGCGAAGGGGACGGCGAGGAAGAACGGTCCTCGACGCTCCAGCGGGAGTTGCAGGCGGAGGAGGAGGGAGAAAGGGTCGAGAAGTCGTCCGTCAAGGTGGGCGGGTTGACGCAGTCGTACTCGAAGGACGGGGCGCCGGAGTGGAAGTGGCTGGGGAACTGCCCGAAGGTGAGGGCTGGAACACGCGGGGCGTGTTGTTGTTGATTGCCTTGTCCCCGGTTTATCAAGATCGAATGAGCAATATCGTCCGAGAGAGAAGAGAGAGCGCAGCAACTACTACTAGTAGTGTGACAAGGACACCGCCAAATTTGGGCGTTTGTCGCAGCTTCCGCCATGTTGTATCGCACAAGTAGTTTGTACATGTCTTATCCTACACTATGAAGTTGATGGGGAGATGGGATCTGGCGTCCGGTGAAAGTTGATGGCGCTGTGCATAGCGTTGCCTTCTGCATCTCCATGCCATCCCTTCTCGACGCCGTTCTTATCTGGTGCTCCCCGAGCCATCCTGGTGCGAGTTGGAGTCATGCAGAAGACGTCGATTCCCCTTCACCCACCCCGCACATCTCTACTGTATTATGTATGATATGCCTACACGTGATTCCTTATGTGGAGGGCATGCGTGCGATGGCATCGTTCGGTTTCTGTGACTGTTTTATGACGAAAAAACGCCTCGGTTGTTGAAGCCCAAAATTTTGTTGTCGTGGGGGAAAATAAGCGCGGTGCAGTGATGGGGCGTACGAGAAATCCTACTACCCGGTACTAGCCAGCGATTCCGAGCGTGTGGCAGAAGGTGGTACGTGCTTTTTCTCGGTGCAAGGTTTCAATGCAAAGGTTAGTTCAGCATTCTCCACTGCTTCCTCGAGCGACCGCCCACCCCCCTTGGCCCCGCTTTGGCCAAGGAGGAAGGAACGAGTGGTGGCCATCGTTGATCGATCCTGCGGGAGCGATGCTCAGTTCTCCCGAGGATGCGTGCGCAATGGCCGAACAACCAAGGAACGCAAACATAAGTCCCCCCCCCCCTCGCCCCCTAAATTGTCTCAGCCGGCGAAACCCGGCATATCGCTCCGTCCCGGCATGTTGGCGGTACAAGCCAATGTCTGACGACTGCGACCTTTACATGAGTAACCCCCCCCCCCACACACACCTACATGTTGCCGTTACCCCCCTTCTTCCCCCTGCAGGATGGGAAACGGTCGCCAGGTTCCTCGACATCCTCGCCTCCTCCCCTCCTGCCCAGGGTGTCCTCCGCAGCTACCAACAGCCTCGATCCCACCTGGCATTTCGACCCTTCCCCCATCCTCTCCTCGGGAATCATTTCGGTGCAAGCAGGTACGGCGGCGGGTTTGAATTTTGGGGTCCTAGGGTTGGTGCTCGCTCGGTTGTGATGTTGAAAGTAAACTCGTCCCTCGGACACTGTTTTTTTTGGGCACGCACTCCTCCGGCGTGAGGATAAAGTTTTTGTTCAGACATTGGTGCCGCCCGCAGAATGTACCACGTAAGGAGGGGGTATCAATCGCAAGGACACCTGTTATAACGAAAATCATGCGTGGCCTTAACTGAGGGAATACTGTAGTGGCTTTGGTTCTGGTGGGGGAGATGAGGCTGCTGCACCATGGCACCATGGGCAACTTGTCCAAGAAAGGGGAGCAGTATCCCTTCACCACCGATTCGAGCGTCTAGCTAGTTGCGTGCCCCGACTATTTCATCGATGTGCCCGCTGAGTCGGAAGCCGGACTCGCGCCGTGCGCCAATGCACAGCCCGTAGACATAGGTTCACGACGTCTACAGCAGGCTCCAACAAGAGACGTCCATCATGGTTTGTGCATGAGCGCGACCACGCCTGTCTCGGTACTACTACATGGCACTCCTGACACATGCCGGCGTCATGTGCCGTGCCGGCATGTGTCCTTTCTCGTGTACCCTCTCATCAGACTCAACGCTTGCGGTTTCCCCGGTTTTCTCAATTACAACCGTAACCAACGTTTTCGAATGCAAGCTCATGACGGACACCTGTACCGCATCACGCCCCTCTCTTTCTTGCTCCCTCGTCTTTATCGCGCGTTCGTTTACCCGTGACCCCTGACTGGAGTAGGCTCCACCGCGTCCTCTCCGGTGCTCACGTCGGAGTTCCCGGAGCCCGGGCGGATAGCCGCGCTGGCGTCCCGCATCGAAACCCGACACGCCTCGCCGGACGAAAAGAACGGTGGCAGCACCCTCACGAGCCCCGTCCAGGCGACCGTTCCGGGAAACGTTCCGGGGAAGGCCGACGTGGGCCCGCTGGCGACGGCCTTGCCGCTGCCGCCGCTGGCGGCGACAACGGCGGCGGGGCCCGCCCTGCGGAGCCGTAGCAACAGCGGCAGGTGGGTGATGAAGCGCTGTTCGAGCTCGACGTCCCTCACCCCCGAGCCCATGGATGAGGGCCGCGCGGATGGTGGGACAGGAGGGGGCTCCGGGTCTTGCAGCGCAGCCGGGTCTTCTTCTGGGGGATCGAGGAATGGTAGCGTCCTCAGGCGGTCGTCTTCGTCGGCGGCGACGGCGCCGCAGCAAGAGGATGGGGGAGTCGCCCCCGCCGTTCCGAGGAACGTTCCCAGAGCGGCCGGGTCGGCGGCGGCCGGGTCGGCGGCGGGCAAGGACGACGACGCCCTCGCTGTGGCCACCAGCTGGGAGCAAGGGGGGAAGAGGCGGCCTGCGCTCCTGGGAAAGAGCAGCGGCGGCAGCAGCATCAGCAGCAGCAGCAGCTTCGGCAGCGACGACAGCGGGTTTTGCTCGGCCCTGGGAAGCCGTTCTCCCGACGAGGAATCGGTGCCCCCCAAAGGCGGCCGCGCGGATGTCGGCGGCGGCGATGGCCACCTGATGCTCTCCAAGGACCAGCAGGTTCGGTCCCCAGTTGACGGTGGCGAGGAAGGAGGTGTCGGCAGCAGCAGCTGCAGCGAGGCAACGCTGCCCGCCTCTCCCGACAAAGGAGGGGGTTGTGGTTGACTTGCGCGTTCGGCACAACCGACGAAAAGGAGGGGCACATGTCGGGACCGGCCGCGGCCATAGCAAGCTTTGTCGAGCTACTACCCGTTTTTGTTTTCTCCTTGCCTATGTTTGGGGGGGGGGGGGGTAGGGGTGCTGCTGTGGCCGGTGGCGGCCGGTTGAGGTTCCGTTCGGCCCAAGCAACAACCCTACCGTTGGGGGGTGAGGTGGTGTGCGCAACATGCATGAACGATGGCGAAACGTTGCCAGACCTCATTCAAACCGAGCCGGGAAGGAGCTGCCAGGTGCCACCGACTGCAGCACTGTTGTAGTCTGGTAGGCGTGGTGGTACTATGCGTAGTTTCAACCTGGCGTAATTTACATAGTTTGTTTTTGGCTTGCGAACGGGGGCGGATGCTAGGGGTCGAAGGGCGGGTTTTACCACTGCACCATCGAAATCTTGTGAGGTTTAGCGGCAAGCGATTAGTAGAATTACCGTGTTTTTTTTGTGGTGTTTTTAAGGTGTACTAGCTTGTTTCGTCTGTTTCATTCGAAAGAGTAAATGACAATTATACCCGTGTTTTTTTTATTGTTTGTGTTGTGTAGTGCACACGGCTACACGACAGGAGGCCCCGTCCGGCCTTGTGGCGTGTGCCACCAAGGGGAACATGTTAATTCCGTTGTTTTTGGTTGCAAGACGTAACTGCGAACAAGCGGCTGTGTTTGTGATGCTGGCGTTTGTTTAAGTACGTACGTGAGAGAGGATTGCCCGATTATTGCTACGTCATGTGTCAGCTGTTGTTTGTCGAGTTAGTTTCAGGTATCGTTTTAGGTAGGGTGAAATAGAACAACACAAAAGATCACTGCGGTTATCTACGAGTGAGAATTATTTCGCTGTGCAAAGTTGTACGTTATCTTTTAAGTTGTCAGGCGGTGTATACTGCGCGTCATTGGCGGGGCGGTGGTGGTATGTCAAAGGTTATGGGGTAGTGGTGACCAAGCTCATGGAGAAATGCTTGTTCGTTTTCGGGTCCACGACATTTTACACCCGTTTGAAGAGCCGCCGGGCTGATTTCTTGTGGCGCCAACAATGGGGGCATGTATCCTAGACTACGCCGGCGATGCCTTTTCCTCCGTCCAGATAGCCGCAGACGCAAAGTTTGCCCGTGTTGTCCTTTTGTCAAGTACGTAAGCTAGACTATTGTCTGAAACAGGTTTGGTTTTGTGTCCTCGAATCACAAGTGAATCGTGCTGGGTTATTTGTTGTGCTCTTGGACGTTTGCTGTTTGCGTATTGTTGTGTCGATGTAACGGGTAGCTCTGTTGTCTGTGTGTGTGTATGTATACGCCGAGCTGCACGGCGCGCTTAACAAAGGCTGTCGAGTTTTTATCAGCGGAATTAAGTGTTGTCTTCGCGCCGTTGTCGACTCCCTTTTTCTATTTTTTTTTTTGCCGTTCGTCGACGGGAAGATGAGATGCAAACATTGACGGCAGCGTGGATGGTCCGGATTTATGAGACACACACGGGGCGTTTTTCGTCGCATCAGGTATTGACGGTAACGTCTGCCGTGGTAAAAATGTGTTCATGTTGTCTGGGCGTTTTTAAAATCAACTTCGTTGGGAACAGGTTGTATCAAATGTCTTTCGAGCACTTTGTCAAGAACTTAGGCAGCAGGAAATACTTTCTTTGTAAATCATGCGTTCACCGTCAGCACAATACGCTGCACACAGACGCCGGGAGACTCTTGAGAGTGGATAGGGCGGAGGATTGTTCGAGGAATTTTCACTTATCTGCTGGCGACAGTCCCGGAGAGAGCCATGGTCTCCGCTCCTGCCCGCCAAAGGTTCGCGGCTGGTGGTCCTCTCGCCCAACTAATTTGAAGCTCGAATTACGATTTTACGTTCTCGACGGACGCGGGAATTTCGTCCAACTTAAGCCAACGCTGAAATTTGGTAATTTCCAAGTCCTATGAAGCGTCTATGGACGTTCGTGGAAGCTGTGCACAGAGGCGTTCTTGGTGGCGTTGGACCTCGTCGATTTTGGTTCTGAGGTGCGAAATCCAGCTACGTGCCACGTAGATGCGAATTCACCGGAAACGTCGACGCAAACCCTTTGTGGTAAACGACCTTCGGCAGAAGTTCGGAGACAAAATCTTCGCCAAGTCTTTTGTACCGAAAGTTGAATCCACAGATGAATTTCATCGGGCAACCCGCCTGTTTCTACAGAGAACATTTGTTGTTGATCTTCCGCATCTCACGCATTGTGGACGCCCCCGATGCCGTCCAGGGCAACACTCATGGTCAAGGGGCGGATGTCATATGCGCGCTTTGTATAGCGGCGCCAATGCCATAGAATATTTGCGGGGTGTACAACGTACCCACCTTTGGTAGAGTTATGCAAATATCCTAGCAGAGTTAGGCAAATCTTGGAAGGCATGAGACCAGCGTGTTGGGTAGCCGCGGCTTCATAACGTCACGAGATTGCGCCTCGATCATGCACCTTGGTTCTGCCCGGTCAGGACAACAGGTTGAAGCCAATTATCACCATTCTCTTATTCCTGTAGTCCTTCGTCGTGATGCGTAGTGCATGTCTGCAAGAAATATCTCAAGCATCAGTTCCCGCGCGGTAAGCGCATACCACACAGGGATAACGAAACACTGACACACCAAACGTTTTTTGAACCATTGGTTCGATAAACACAAGACCTGCAACCACTGTCGTGGCCCGCGGTTATTACTTACGGCAAATTAGACGGGACGAGAAACAAGCCCAGCATATGCATAGCATACACGCAAGAGCGCAAGACACATATTTACTACACACTTGCCGAAAGGTGGCCTGCGGACGGACTGGTTGACGGGTTCCCCAGAAAAAACAATGTTCACGTGCTGCCAGCCCCCCACCTCGCTCAAACCACCCAAGCAACCTACTGAGCTCCACGCATTATCCCGACCAACTTACGGTTCCACCCCCGGAAGGAAGTTAATTACAATAGTCGTGCCTAAGAACAGGATCCGGTGCAAGTTAGGGTGCACCGTCGTAGACGCCTCCTCTCCGAACATGCATGTTCCATTGATTGGCGGACCAACCAGAAGAAATCAACGATTTAGGCGCTGACCGCACCCCCGCGTACGGTCGAGAAGAACCGCCGACCGCGACTCCATCTGAACACAAAAAAGACTTAACGACTCTCATCGCGAGCTGGCCGGTCAGGGCATAAGTCGCCTCTACGACAATGATCTCATGAACGGGCATCCACGTGGGATTTCTGCCCCATTCTCGAAATACTTCGGCCCCTGTGTGTTTTAGGGTTAATTGTCGAAGTCTTCAGGCGTGTAGACTCCTGAGAACGAGGTTGGCGGAAAGAAGGCAGGAATGAGAAACACGTCCGAAAACAAACTCACGTACAAACGTGGACCTTGTGGTTACAAAAAATGTGCGACACAAAGAATCACACGTAGAAAACATGCGTAGGCAAGGGCGATATTTTTACCGCGCAGTGGGATTTGAAAGAGGGAGGAATCGTTACAGCGAGAGACAGACAGAAAGAGAGAAAGAGAGAGAGAGAGAGAGAGAGAGAGAGAGAGAGAGAGAGAGAGAGAGCGAGAGAGAGAGAGAGAGAGAGAGAGTAAAGATGGGGGGCGGGGGGCGGAGAGTAACAAATGGCGAACGTTTTAATTGCCCATGATTGCCAATGACCCATGATTGCCCATGATTGTCTGCCAGGCTACAGTAGCTCACGTGCAACGTTTTGTTGGATAGGTAAGTCGGTGCGGGGATGGTCATGGATGTACTCCAAAACTCACCAGTCATCATAACTTCAACCTTCTCGGCAATCGCCTCGACAATGTTGTTGACCAAGGTGCCGGCAACGTTCTTGCCCAGGAGCCATTTGTAGAACCGGTCGCAGTGCTCCACGCAGTTCGGCTTGCATACAGCAGTACGGTAGCGCCCGAAATCACCAAAGGGAGTTTGAAAATTGAAAGCACGGTACTTTTCATGTGAATTCGCCGGCTAGGAATATATATATATGTCACGTTAGGCAGAGAAATAATTCTACAATAGAGGTGTTTGGCCATGTGAGAATCGAGGAGTGGTGTCCACCTTCGCCGATGGCGCACTCTGAAAAAAACTGTTTCGATGTATGTATTGGCGCTCCACATATAGAGGGAATCCACGTGTTGTTGAAATGACGTGAAAGATTGACATTTCAGGAAGTTTTGACGTGAAGAGGTTGCGCCGCTTTTTTGGGGGCAAACTCTGACGGCGAAATTTTTGTGAGGAAGCGTCAAAATTAAATTTCACCCATTAAACCGACGCGAAAAGATTGACGCTTCAAACATCGCCAGACTGCTGTGGCTCACACACGCTTGCTCTGCTGCGGTCTGCTGTGCGCGGTCAGCAGCGAACACATTGGCCATGCCTATACTGATTGCTCCTAGCGGTCCTGCACCCACGCGTCTCGGCAGTTCTCACGGCGGCCAAGTGGCCAGACGCGCGTGTTCGGCGCGCGCGTTCGGTAGATGCGCCGTCGCGATTGCGCACGGGCTTTCAGCAGCAAAAAGGGGCATAGGCAGGGGAGTGATTGGGGGAGTCTCGCCCTCGAAGGGAGCACATGGAGAGGAGTAAGGGAGGGTACACGGACTTTGCCAGTCAGTAGGTGCATTTCGCCCGCCCCCTCACGGGGTTCGGTGCTCTGCTGCCGCAGTGACATCGGTATATACACAGCAGTGCAGCGAGCAGCTGCCTTACTCATCAGCAACGAACGGCAGTTTGACGCCTGGGAAGTCGCAGTTTGACGCCTGGGAAAAGTCGCCGCGGCAAAGGAGGGAAGGTCGGCGGGATGAGGCGAAGGGGTACACCTAGTCTCCTGGGAGCCTGGGGGTGTGAGTCTTCGCTTCGGAATGTCGACCCTGGGTGGCAGCCCGAACCAACCTTGAACTCTACCTCCACCATTTTTTTTTTTTTCACCTCTCACGTGTCAACGGGCACACGCGGTGCGAATTTTTTCCCGTCAAAACCCTCAACCGTCACTTTATGTTGGCGTCAATCCTCAAAGGTCAAAATTCCGCGTCAATCCATAGTGGATACCCTATATTCTACTGTAGCTGATTGGTGGACTGATCGGTGCAACAACCCCGATTTCACTTACGGGTATTCACACCTGTACCCACTCCCGACCTTGACTTGGTCCTATTATAGGTCATTGTAAGGTTCCAACTATGGTGGCGCTTGGTAAGTTTTCACCCGAGGGCCATCTCTCGAATTCGACTTGTGCGTCAACTCTGGCATGATAGCGGCTCCATCAGATCACAACAGCAGCAGCATCCGCAACATACCCTTTGGGGGGATAGTGCCAGAAACTTTCCGATCAGCTGGTGGGTGTTGGTGATGGGTTCGCTTCCTCCAGCCAACGCCTGCACAGTTCCTCCGGAGATGAAAGGTACCTAGTTTGATTCGCACCGGCGAAGACATCAGCATCGTATTCGAGTATCACAGCGTTATTAGTCTACTGCATGTTTATCTGCTGCGTATTCGCATGAAAGACCGCACGTTCACTTGTGCGAAACTCGACCACACATACAAACGACATTCAACGCTTTGGGCCTGTTGGGCAAAGGTGGAGATTATCGTGCACACCTTTAATGAATAAATGGCGGCGGCAGTCCACCAGTTGGCTGCAACAGGAACGCCAACCGGCAAAAATAGACTAAAACGACCGCGTCGCATAGCCTGCAGTATATTCTAGAAGACTAAATATTGTACTGTAGTACTTGTATGCAGTCTTAGTCTCAATATAACTCGGGACAGAAATAAATGTTCATATTTCTTCGGCACCTCGGTTAGGACCCCAGTGATCGGGGCACGGATGAATCCAGCAAGGGTGGCGTCCGTAGTTGTGCTCCTCCTCGGGTGGAAGCCGTCTCGTAGCTGCAACCATCGACCGGAACGACACAGAAAATCGATATATGAGTGGGAGAAAGGTGAAACGGCAGTCTCTTGTGCGGGGACTTGAAGCTGGAGGGCGCTCACTGTATAGAGTCTACCAGTAGAAAACATCGAAATGATAATTATGCAAGCCGCGAAAACAATAAGCAGCCTTCGCGAGGCAGGTGACGGGTGTGTGCCCCGACTCTGTCGTTGGCGACGTTTCCCGGCAAGGGAGGCATCTATGATATGCACGCGCAAGTTTCTCGCATCTGGAGTTTCGTGCTTGATATGTCCAATCACCATACAAAGAACGTCGTCATCAATCATCAAGTTCTTGTGTGCGTGCAAATTTCGGCGGAAAACTCCGCTTCGGCAGGCGGCAGAGATGTGCTCCGAACCTTTTGGGTCGCAATCTAACTAAGTTCACACACACATTCATTCCAGTTGTAGATTGGACGGGGCTTCAAATACAGTCTAGATGGAAGTAAAAGTTTTGGTCTTGTTTTGTGCTTCGGCATTTATTTCTCTCATGGCATTGAGAGTCTTTTCCCACGCTTCCTTCTCAGGGCCACGCAAGCGGAGGCTCGTCGGCACACTAAGGCTCATGCGCGGAGCTCAGCAGGCCTCCGCGGGGCGTGTGGTTGACGGTCGAGTCGCAAAAATTGGCTTCTAGACTATACCCCGGGCACGCGTTCCGACCAGACGAAGCCTGTCGAACCAATCCTTCTGAAACCCACCGAAAACGACAGAAGAAAGGACGGATGGACCGGTCCATGGACGGGTCATTACCGTACCATGACCTGGTTATGGACCGCCCAGTCGGGTCATGGCCCGACCAACAACCAAATAACCAGGCCCGACCAACAACCAAATCACCAGGTCACGATTTGGGCCATGGGCGGTCCATGGGCGGTCCATCGGAGGTTCATGGGCCAGGGCCATGACCTTACCCAATAATAATATCACCCACGTTTTGGCCCGCACGCACATTTCGAACAGGTTTCTCGCTGCCAACGACAACTAACCGCCACACTGAATCCCTGCTCATGCCGATTCTTCAAAGCTGACGCCATCACCTCGGTTTGCGGTATTTATTTCTGGCTGAACATCAGTTGCCCGGTTTGCAGCTTTGCGTAGCGACCAAAAAGTACATACAAAGTATTTGAAGAATTTGCCTCTTGCCTGATGTTCATCTCCATCATGCACCATTCGCTGATTCTAATAGATAAAATTAGACCACCACAGATTCGGGCCCGCGCGTGGAGCGTTGAGCACGAACGCTTTGACCATTAGACCACTGAGTCAACATGATAGAAAAATTTCACCATCTGACCAGTCGACGTTGACTGGTCACATGGTCTATTTTTTTTTTTGACGTAATAGATTCCACCCTCCCTCGCTGTATAACTTCGACTTCGTGCTATCGCACGCTTTGTCCTACGGCACCTACCAATCTTTGCTCTTCTACACTTCCCAGCGGACCCAGGGAAACGCCGCTCGCTGCTGTAGCCAAGTCTCAACGCATCCCCCCACAGTGGTGATCAGTTTGTGTATATTTATTTGTGGTGTTGTTTCGATATCAAATTCTGTTCTTCTCATCGATTGGAAATCTGTCACATTAAAAATCATTTGTAGACGTTCATTTGTCCCTCTCTGGCAAGTTTTTGTCCGCTCAAGCTGGCTCCAAATGTAGAAAACGTGCCGGCATGCGAGCGTTTTATATTTATCTGCCCATAAAAAATATAACACAGCCTACTCGGGGAATGCGCATGTTGTCTTGCGTCGCCCGCGAGAGGCTTGTCACCCACGTCCGGAAGGGAGACCTTGTACATTACATACTAATACATATATATGTAGACAGTCATCAATCATCAAGTTGTTGTGTGCATGCGAATTTCGGCGAAAAACCCCGCGTCGAAAGGTGGCAGAGGTATGCAGGTGTACTCCGAACCTCTTCTTGGCAGTCAAACTACATTGGTCACACACAATTGTCCCTGTTGTACATTGGACGGGGCTTCAGTTTGATGGCGGGTAGCCAACGTTGTAGGCGAAAATTCATCGAAATCGGAGCAATTCGTGCTGTTTCGTGCCAGGAGCACCTACGTGCTGCGTGCCCCTGTTTCGTGCTTGGCAAGACCATTCACCGACACCAAGCGTCAACGGAGGAGGCGCCAATCATAGACAACACTGGTATTGGTATGGGTGGTGGCGTCGTTGGCGGTACCCTGCGTCGCGCTCGATGATTGATTGCGATCTGCAAAATCTCAATCGCTGGTGAGGGACTTATATTTTTATTGCAGCGACAAGAACGACTGCCGGCGTTAAGACGGCAAGAACAAAACATCGACGACGACACCTACAACGACAACCAAATGATCACTCGAACCCTCACCTGTCCCCGTGTAGTTCTGGGCATGGTGCTCCTGCGTGTGCAGACTTGACTCGTTCGATAAAAGGATGTGTAAATTGCCTTTTGGGAGAGGGAGCTGCCAATGAAAGTGTCCACGAGTGGGCCGTAAATAAAAAATTCGCCCCGCGAAATGAAAATTTGTATGCCGTGGATTGGTGGTACACGAAAAGGTGGCTGGCCAATCAAACGACATTGGCCTTACAAAGGGCGCCAACAGAGGTTATGAACACTGTCTGGGGTATCGGTGTGGTGGTATCGTCTGTTTGAGATCCGTCACCCCGTCGGAAGTACCGTGAACCCGAAAGTAACCGGCTATGTTTGGTGCCTACCAAACCGTTAACCAAACTCGACATCTGTTTGTCAAAGGGGTACATAGACTAGGCACCCACCCGTTTGTGTATTGACTGAAAAAAGGGAAGGGTGTTAGGTTTGCTTTTGGGGATCCTGTCCGTGGGGCGTCGGCAAGCGAGCAAGTTGTCCAGACCAGCAGGGAGCTCCCAGGAGAAGAAATAGCAAAGTTGTGGAACAACACCGGTGTTGAAGACCTTGCCAGCTTTGAGACAGATTGTGGCTTTGGCCTCGGAACGACAGATACAACACATCCTTCACATTTTTTTGCGGTGAGCCAACCAGTTACGTCTGATGGCCACCCAGTTGAAAGGTTTGCGGTGTCCGTAGTTTGTTTTGGGTCAATCTCCGTGTTTTGTACCCTGATATTCTCGCTCATCTTTTCGGCCTTCGGGACAGTTCAACGAACAACTGCTGATGACTACCGTACTTCGGGTAACAATGTGAGTGAGTCTCGTTGTTCACTTTTCGATGTTGTTGCTGTCCCGATGTTGTTGCTCTTCGAATAGGATGATTTTGGTACAAAAAGGGTGTGCATAGGGGGGCCCCGCCCCCCAGTGGGGCGGGCGGCCAGAATGCGTGGAATGGGTGCGGCGATCTGATAGGCAGAGGAAGTAGAGGCGATGATAACATCGGTACGCACGGAGGGTACGAAGTTGGCTTAGACATTGTGAGATCCACATGACCGCTGCGGGTATGTGCGACGTTGTTAACTGGTCAGCGCGGAGATCTTTCGCCCCCTGGCGAAAGAGAATCATTGACTACGATATCCACACACGATGTCGAAGACCCTCCATTGGATGGGACACGCCCCTCATCCCGTTGGTATATTTTCCCTTCATAACGTGACGGTTTTCTTCGCCATTTCCCAACACGTTCCATTCATGTTTCGGAGTGACGTCTACGGGGGGTGAGACGTGCGGCAATGTTGCACCCTGTTGCGAATGAAATTCTTCTTTCCGCTATTTCTTTATTTTACAAATACTTCGTATTATTAGCATATCGTCTGCGCCTTGATCGCCCCCTTCGGCGGGCCAAGCACCCCGGCCTGGACCAGCATCTGGTCCAGCTTGAAGTCCCGGACGCGGTAGTTTCGGTACGGCTGCCGGAGCTTGTGCAGAGCGCGGGCCTCGATCTGCCGCACTCGCTCTCGCGTCAGCCGGAAGTCCCTAGTAGTAGTCTATTTTTTGCCCAGCCCTCCCCTCCCCCGTCATGCGAGGTCAATGGTCTAACGACTGAGGCATACACAGCTATCCTCCCCGCGCTCGTCGTCCCTCTTAGAAACCACTGGTCTGCCATCTTCGAGAGCATGAAACGAGCTCGAAGTACCTGTTAAATCTCCACCTCGACCTCACCCTACTTCGTCTCCACATCGACTCGTCACATTCTGACCGCCCGTCCCATCCAGTCGTTGCCCCTAGTCATTAAAGGTAGGACTAGGCATCAGCACGCGAACCATCACCTTGAAAGGGATACCCAATCAATATTATGTACAAACAGTAGCTCCAACTTCATCTTCGTTACGAGCACAGCCCAATGGGACCAAGACGCATTAAACTCCCCCAAACACATACTGTAGAATACTTGTATTACCAACGAACTGCAGTACACACGACGCTAGGAAAAACATTGGGAGGAATTCCGGCCACAGGCACATTTTATTGCTGCCGTGGTGGAACTTGCGATGGCAGGTTCTGGGACTATGGCGTCTTTCTCGATATATTACCGGACACACATCTTCCTCGGTACGCACACAAACGGGCAAAATCTCGCATCGGTTCAAATATCCTCTCAATCAATGATGCACGCGCGCACCCGCGTTCGATTTGCCGCCTCCCCGTTTTCGCAAGGCGTATTGACCTTGAGCCGTTAACGTTCACTTATTTTCTTTTCGTCGAGGTTGCCTCGTCCACCCACACTCCTGCGTGTTCGTGTACATTTTGCTTAGCATTGACCGCACTATCCGACTGATGGATGAAAGACGTCAGTCACATAGCCCGACCCAAACGAGAATGAAAATGCATGTTTTGGAATTCAAAGACCTCTAGCGACAGAGGGGCTTACATTTACAGCAGTGTGAAACGTTGATATCGTAGATACCTGTGCGCAGGTTTTCCCTACCTTGTCCCTTGGGTAGAACGAAAATATTGCATATTCATTGGAACTAAATTTCTGGCTTGCCACGTAGAAGGGCACACACACGCACGCGAATAGGAAACCAACGACGTTGATCGAACTTGTTCAATACCTTCAGGTGGATTGGCCCTGTTCCCGGCGGCGACTGCACCAAGATTGGGTTCACTTGCCTGCCTGGCGTTGCCGATATTGACCATGGAGTTTTCGCAGACATCAGGGGAGGTGAATCAACGCCGTTCATCGGAGTCGAACTAACGGTAGGTCAGCACTCGGAGGATTAATGTTGAGTGGAACGAGGTCGGTCGTGTGTTGGCGACGCTCACACAAAAAATGTTTGTGAACAGAGCCATGCTCAGGCTACCCCTATCCGGGGTCTTGACATTTTGGGGTTTCCGTCCATGGCCGGTCCATGGCCGTGTCATAGCCGGTCCATGGCTGGATCGTGGACCGCCCATGGACCATGACCCGGTCATGGACCGGCTATGACCCGGCCATGGACCGGCCATGATCCAGCCATGGCCCCCGGTCATGACCCGGTCATGGACCGTCCATGGACCGGACATGCCCTGTCCATGGACCGTTCATGACCCGGTCATGGGCCGGCCATGGACTGGCCATGGACCAGCCAGCCGGGTCGTGGCCCGGCCCATGACCGGGTCACGATTTGGGCCGTGGCCCGGCCCATGACCGGGTCACGATTTGGGCCGTGGCCGGCCCATGGACGGGCCATGCACCAGGGCCATGACCTCACCCAGTAATATTTCCCACTGCCCTATCCAACAAAAAACAAAACCAATCAGCTTCGCATAGAAGGAAAAAACACCTTACAAACCCATAGATAGCACCTTCTGCCTCACGATCGATAGACACCGGCGAAAATAACTCCTGATAAGCAAAAACACTATTATAGCGCCTCTCGATCGATAGTCACCGCCGAATGCGAACCCGGAGACCTTGTGCCGTCCGCGATTGCGCCGCAGGTGCCGTGTGAGGGAAACGATGCCGGCAACTTGGTTGTACCTTACTGCATGGCGTGGAACACGTATGAGAAAAACAGGAAGTGCACAAGCATCGACAAATTCTTCACCGACGTTTATTCCAAGTGCGATTGGGCAGCACGTTGGAAGTCGACGCCGCCAAAGTCTGCCCGGTACGTCCTCATCACATCAATAGGGTGGGGTTGAATGGAACAAATTCGTGCAAGACCACGTCGTCGTCGTTTGCAGCCAACTAGTGATCACTGCATCACCGATCATTCTTCTTGCTAACATACGGCGGGGCGACCATAACATGTAACATGTGAGAGGCGGTCTTCGTGTACAGATACAGAGAGTGTATTTCAATGGATCCCTTCTGTCCTGCAGAGTTGAAGCGCTCGTGAAGCGCGACCTTATCCCACCGTTATCGGTAGGTGTGACAGTAGTTCCTCGGGTGTTATGTAGGCGAGGACGTGCCGAGCTGTTTTTGCGTGGCTTGACTAAAGGGATAAATATGAGAGAGCGAGCTCGAGGGGAAGTCATCGTGGTCCCCATCTCAAGCTCAGGGCCGTCCGGACCGTCCTTCACACAGCCTGCAACCAACTCGGATGAGTGTTTTTTGCCGAGGACCCCGTTCGGCCCTACGGTCTTGCATGTGTGTTCGAAGTTAGTATCTGTCATCCACATTACTACCTCTAGCGCAACAGGATAGGCATAGTAATGAGGACGAATGCGTGGAATTGCCAGGCTACGCATTTGACAAGCACGCAAGGTAATACCTGGGTCGTGTTTTAGCCCGACAGCGTGTTGTTCAAGAACCACACGAAAAAACATCGTCTAGTCATCCACCTTTCATCGGAAACAGCGTTGCGGTTCTTGTCTGCTGAAGTATACGACTCTAGACTTTGCAGTGTTCAGCCGGTTAGCACGGTCGACAGTTCCATAGTTCAAGAAGAGTGAACTTGAATTGTGTTTCGTGTCGTAGTGCGGGCACAAGCAGACCCGTTCTCCCGACCATCCGTGTCTTTTTCTCCTCCCCTTTATTTTTGTTGGCGGTTGCTCCTCGCGAAAACAGGTCGACGGCGAACTCTCTGTCTCGGCTTTTGCTAGGTAGATGGACCAAGCACCTTCGAGATTTGCGATCGGTGAGTGGTGTTGACAACCTCGTTAAACGATTAGTTTCCAATCCAATATGCCAATTATTTTGCTTCGTCTTTTGGCTATCGCAGGGTGCCCTGCCATCTGATGGACATGTCTTTCGAAATGCTGCTGTCAACAGGATAGTCTCACGCGTCGCTGTATTCTTTTCTCTTGGGCAGCGCTTGCGTTGTTTTCGTGGGTGCTCCCAGAATCTTCTGCAGCAAGCTACATTACTCCCAAGTTTTGTTTGCGCGATGCTTTCCTGGTGTACTGAACTACAGCCGTGATATATGGCGCATCGTAAAGCAAGTATTGTGGCAGCAGTGTGTGCCTCAAGTTGTTCATTGTGCTGTTGTAGAAGAGGATGTGGAAGTAGCGACAACTGCGGCGCAGTTTTGCCAATCTCCAACACTACTGACAGTTTTGCTAAACCACCCATGGGACACCCATGGGTACCCATGGGGAACCCATGGGTCACCCACGGGCCGCCCGTGAGCTCTTCATGGGCTCTTCATGCGCCGCCCATGAGCCGCCTATGGGTAACCCCATGGGCGACCCACGGGCGGCCCATGAAGTGCTCACCGTGGGCACTTCAACCTAGAACTTCGACACCGGCATATCAACCTTCACATCAACCTAGACCTTAGCCATCAGCGCCAACCTAGCACATATCGCGTGGGCTCGGGGTTAGGGTTAGGGTTAGTGTTAGGGTTATTAGCCGTTATGGTGCCCGTTCAAAGGCAGATAATGTATTGTTTAGGAGTACACTGGTTCGGTTGCAGGGCTCTCATTGGTCGCCCATGGGCTTCCATGCGTTGGACATGGGTTGCCCATGGGTGAACCATGGGAGTCCCGTGGGTCGTTTGGGAACTGCAGAAAGTGTGGGAGACCCTTTTTGCCAAGCGGTTTGCACTTCGGGATATGGTTTCTATATCTCGTACACGAAAGAAATCACCCGGGCTTCCACTACATGGTGTTCCTGGCGCATCCTATCCCTGGAGATCAACGAACGACAGGCCTGTTACTCGCTTCGGTCGACGTGCTGCGTGTCGATTTGCGGGGACACGCGGGACTGAACAATCCACATCCATTCGCGCTCCTCTCACCCGGCAAAACTCACCTCACAGGAGGTTTCCCCGAAGATTCGATGGCATGGTATATTCCCACCGTTGGATCATTTGTTTTTATGCATGGCCGCACAAACCATGCCCGACTGGAAGCTCCACCTTCGAGCACTATCTCCCCGTCTATGGTCCCACAAGGTTTACGATGGAAGCATTCGTCGCCTTTGGCGACCTTGCCTGTGAGCCCATTGACTTCGGAAAATCAATTTCAGTGAGTCATCGGCCACGTGTGGGGGTTGCATGCTGTGGCTTCATGACGACCGAGCGTAGTTTGCCATGCCAACGATAGGAGAGGTGTGTCCGCGTATGCTTGCATCGGTCGAAGACGACAACATGTCTGCTCGTCTGGGTTGAAAATCGGGAATAAGGTTACCGCCGTATAGATCCTCTTTCGGTAGCGACTCGAAACTTCTGACATTCTAGGTTACGGGTTCGATTCTCTGTGGAAAGAAAACGCCGCAGTCTAGGGTGGAAAGCGCGTACCTCGTGAGTAGCTACCATAGGGGAAGGATCTGTTGGATCCTTCTCGAGCTACATGTACACTGTATCTATCGCGGGGGGGAGTTGGAGAAAAAGAAGAATCCCAATGTTTTCCTTCCTCTTGTGACGTCTTCTTCGGGGGGTCAAACATAGGCTGGAAGAACAACCGAAAAAGGGTAGACCGGAGCAACTTTGTTCATTTTCAGCGTTCTGCTGGTGTTTCCTGTCCTTGTTCCGCGTTAACAGGCTAACACGTACGTTTTTTCGGTGCTCTTGTTCTCGGGTCACAGGCTGCGAGAGTAACGACAATTATTACCGAGGATATTTTGTGTGCTGTCCACGGTGCAACGCTTGCGACGCTCCCAGCCCAGGCGTCTGCGGTAAGAGACGTTCTCCTGCCGTCAGTCTTTTACTTCCCCCCCCCCCCCCCCCGTTACCTCCCGTTCCATGACATGCGGTGTACTTGAGCCCTGCCGGATAGTGAGAGCATAGACTACATGCAGTTCATGAGTGACTTCCGCTTGCTGCGAACTGTTGCGCATGTCAGGTGTATTCTCATCGAATCTGCTTGTAGAACTAACTTCATGTTCCCTGAGATACGAAATTTCAGGTGACCCGGATGGCGGCAATGCTTCCTATTCGAAAAATGGAACATGTGTCATGCATGGTACCGAAAATGTTTCTTTGTGCGTGCGACAACACTTCAATGATGTGCACGAAACGTCGAGTTTGCTGCTTCGGTCGCCCGTTCGCGGTTGCCCGGTGAACTACTTCCGTATACCTACGGTGTCCTGGTGTGCAGGTGATCCGCACCACAACAAACCCTTCTCGCGTGCTTTTCGCCTACACCTCTAACCCTATCCCTCACAACCTTGAATCAACGCTTCCCACGTTTCCTCGTTCAGGTGACCTTCACATAACCGGCACTCTGGGGCAGAAATTCGACGTCATGAGAGAGGATGGCGTGTGGTACTCCGTCGTCGCCGACGTAAACTCCAACAATGTCAACATGAGTCCCCCGTCGCCGACCTGCCTCAGAATACCTACATTACCGGTAGCACTAGTACAATGATCCCTCACCCAGCACAGAAGAGGTAGCAGGTGAGGCTCGTTGTTGTTGCCAATCACTTTCGCGAAATATGGAGGGAAACATTAACCGACGGCTTGTGGCCTTGCGCAGGGGTTGCGTACTTTTTTCGATTAGCTTTGCCGTGCATTCGACGGTATACATGTGCCTAAAATAGCGGCGGGTGATGCTACGGGTAGCCTTCTCAGCGGTTTGAAGCGATACTACCGTCTTCGGCGCTCGAGCGAGTTGAAGCCAACACTAAGCGTAAAACTAGACTGCGGCGGGTGTGAACAACGTGTCATCCCTGGGCTGCCAACTCGCGTTTTCCCTTCACTTGCAAACTCTATTTATTGTTGCTGCAGTTGCTCTCGTGGCGTTTGCGGGCCCAAACTGGTCTTTCCGTCCTCATCACCGACGCCGACGGTTTCGACCACAGCACCGTCATCGAGGTTGTCGCCCCCAACAGCTTGGACAGCTCTTGGCTTGCCGGAGTGTCGCCTTGCCTCGTGGACGACGCGGCTCCTGGACGGGGAAGAGAAGCTGCTCGCGCCCCTGGCTCCAGAGGTGGAAATCACGGCGGCAAACCTTCGTCTCTGGGCTGCTCCCATGTTTTTCCCTAACTGTCACATGGTCTAGGTACTGTTTGTCGAACAACTGCGCCTGCCTCCGCTTGCTGGTCACCCCGATGAACGAGCCTGCTTCCTGGACCATAGACCCACCCTTTTCATTCTCGCCGCCACACGATTTTCCGACCACTGGAACCTCTCCCTCATGGAAATTTATCTTTTGCAGTGTTGGGAGCTCAAGATGCTCGAGTGCGCCAGCCATGATCGTCGTCTGAACAACCGGCCGAGCATGGATCCTCGGGGAAGGAGGACGGCTCAACTTCATTGACTTTCTGGGTTTATCTCCATAGGTATTGTTATTGGGAGAAGGCGTCGAGACCTTCTCTGTTGATTGATGCATGCACACCGCCGTGTACCAGGAGTAATGCCTTCGCCGCCAGAAGGCGGTTGAAAATGTAGACCGTAAGGTATTGTGTCGACGCGACGGCATAGACCATTTTCTGCAACCAGTTGCTCGCGACAAAGACATGCCGAACAATTGTCACCATCGAAACCGTTTCTGTTTTCCTCCATTGAATTGAAAATTCGTCCCACGAGCGGTGGAAAATGGGCAAGAGGAATACACCCGTCGTCTCGTTGAGTTCATCCTTGAGTTCTGAGGTTGGTTTCTCGTAATGCGTGCAGTTCTCTCCCGGTGCGACCTGCATTTTCTTTCTAGTTCGTTCCGAAACTTCAAACCATTTAACCTCAGTATTCGCTGTCTACTCCTCGGCAAACACAGAATACAACGCAAAGCAATACTGCTACAGCCAGGATTTGACCCCTCTTCGAAATGCTCACTACCGCCGGTCAGTATCGCCCCCTGCGAATATCCAGAATACACCTGTATTGATATAAATCGAGCAGTGCCAAGAACCTACTGATCCCCATGCTTGGGTACGATAGCGCTGTCAATAGTCCTATTACACATATTCATGCCCAGCCGACCTCTTGAATGATTTGCCTTGAGTTGTCTCGCTCAAGAACTCGTAGTCGTTCGAAACGAGACGCAAGCACCTTGTTTCTCCACTGCCTTTTCGATTCTTCCAGGACCCCGCCGCCGCCAACATGGACGAGTGCGTGGAATACTCCGCTATTTACGTCCACAATTCATTCCACTTGAAGGGAGACGTACTCAATATGTCGTAGCTCCAACTTCTTTTTCCTTACGAGTACAGCCGTATGGGACCAAGATATACTAAACTCCCCCGAACATACAGATTATTTTGCGTTACCAAGGAACTACAGTACAGTCCGCACAGAAATCAGGTTGAGACGAATTCCCACCGCATATGACCGTACAGTAGTGGTACTTGCGATGGCAGGTTCTTGGACTATAGCCTAAATCGATTTTGTACCCGGCATGCATCTTCCTGCGTAAATTACGCCTACAACCGGGCACTACCGCTTATCGGCATTTGCACGTCGGCACTTTCGGTTCGACCAGCCTCTCGGTCACGATGAACGTACGCGCTCGTCGGGTTTGCTGCCGCCCCGGCATACTTGCCCTACTCGTTGTCTGTTTACACCTTCTCCTTGAAGGTATCAGCGTCGTAGACTCCTGAGTATGGTGGAAAGGAGAGCAGGAATGAGATACACACCAGTAACCATTTTCACGAGACGTACATGTGAACTGTAGGTTTTGCCGTAAGTGCAGTGGGAAGGAGGGATTAGCTTGAACTCAATGAAGATATGAATGAATATTTTTTGTCTCATTGATGTATGTCTGTGTATCTTTAGGATGCTACTGTAGGCCAATAACTACTCCGTAGCTGAAGGGAATTGGGAGGCAGGGGCAGAGAGAGAGAGAGAGAGAGAGAGAGAGACAGAGAGAGACAGAGAGAGAGACAGGGAGAGAGAGAGAGAGAGAGAGAGAGATTCACACAGGGAGGGAGCGAGATAAAAAGAAAGAGAGAGAGAGAAACAGAGAGAGAGAGAGAGAGAGAGAGAGAGAGAGAGAGAGAGAGAGAGAGAGAGAGAGAGAGAGAGAGAGAGAGAGAGTCGTCCAACGCATGCTTCCGGCCTGTCGCTGGAAGTCTTTGAATTTTACTCCTGTAGAAAGGATCTTCGCGTTTGGGTCGCGCAATAAGACTGACGCTTTTCATCGATCAGCCACATGGTGCGGTCCATACTACAAAAGTAGCGTATGCACGGACACCCAAGGGGTGTGGGTAGGGGACGCACAATCGAAGACAAGATAAAAAAGTGAAAGTTTGAATCCTGAGTTCGTCATGATTCAGGCTAGGCTCTGGCGTCAGGTGACCTCGTAGGGTTTGTAATGGTACGGCGAATTCATGACATTACAATACTACAACTTACCAGGGATCCAAGTTTGAGCCTTTTCGGCAATCGCCTCGACAATGCTGTTCAGCTGTCCATTACCGACGTTCTTGTCTTGGAGCCAAAACTTGAAGCTGTTGCAGTGCTCCTCGCAGTCCGGCTTACATGCGTCGGTAGTGCGGTGGCGCCCCACACCGAAGTAATCAAACGTAGAAACAGGACAATGGATGATGCGCTCGGAAGTAATTTCTTGCAGAGCACGTGTGTACTGTTTGGCAGCGTTGTAGCTGTTCCGCCTGCAAAAATCGAGAAGTAAGTGGCGCCCACCTCAGCTATATGTTATGCTTCAGGATTTCACTGCGGGGCTGTACTTCTACCTTGTTCCGATATTTTGTATCATACCGTGTGTCTCCTCGAAACGAGCGCCAACTTCAGTAAGTGGACCACATCGACTCGCTTCTGGAAAATCGACACAGAGCGACAAACCTTGGTGTTGAGGGCATCTGGATAATGAGGACGCACTTGTATTCATGTCTATTTGCGATGACTGATGTTGATGAACTGATTATTGCGAAGTCTCCAATGTTCGGTGGGTACAATGTAAACATCTTCACAACCTGCGTGTTTACAGGCCATTCAAAGAAGATGCAGTTGATTTCGTCCAAGGTCATTGAGGGTAGACTCCACAAACTCCCTCTCGTGGGTGAAGTTCAATCTTGTCAACTTTCACATGATGGTGGCCCCCTCAATGCTCATAAAATCCGGAGACATACCTCATCAGGGGAAAGCGCCAGAAATTTTCCGAACAGCTGGTGCGTTGTTTTGATGGGTTCGTCTCCCTCAGCCAGAGCCTTCTTTGTAGCGACTCCAATGCCGGGCACCTTTGTTTGATCCGCACCAGCGAAGGTATCCGCATCGAATAGTGTATCAAAGGCATGTGTAGCGCATTAACCAGGTGCACACACAGTATTACAGTGTTCACGCGTGATATTCGCGTAACTGGGCGCACACAAAACCGTGAGACTTGTAAGGCACATTGTATCCATGTGGCGACGTATATTCGCACAACCGAGGTGGAGTTATGGCCATCGAACGTATTTTCCATACCGAATGAACGCACCTTTCAGCGGACAGGATCCCTCGTGTTCAGCAGCATTCAGCATCACAAGTAAGTGCTGTAGTTGCGCCACAGAGTATGGACTACTTTATTTCCGGCTTGAGACTGCGTGATGGCCATCGTCAATGCCACGTTTCTCGCCGAAATAATGAATACCCATGGCACATCTATCAAGCGAGGTGAACTTGACTGCAGACTGCAGATAGTCTCACATACATATTCATCCATAATGAAATTACAGTGTTTGACTCGAGGTCATTGATAACGGCCATTGTTGTTTGGAATTCTTCGTCAAGCGCGTGGGGCAGAAAAACCGGATGTGAGTGCGATGATCTACAATTCGCCATCACCTCGGTTAATGTTCCGGTGATCCCAGCACGGATGAATTCGGCAAGCGTTTCGTCACGAATCACGCTTTTCCTCGGGTGGAACGGGATCCGTTCTACCTGTACCATCGACAAGAGCCACACAGTCCAGTTGGGTATATGAATGAGAGTCGAGGGCGAGTAAGTGTAGTGGAACTGGAGCACCAAATGGCGCCGGCTGCTCTTTGGTGTCTTACATTCTGCAGGCCGTAAATCCCGAGTACGGCCCGTGAGTTAAAACGAAGCAGTAAGGACATGAGGCTGGCCTTTCGCGAGAGTATCGAAAATCGAACACAGAACGCGCCCGCACTGAAGAACCCAGGAGCTACGAAAATTGAGCCAAAACAAAATTATAAATTATTTCTATTGAGCACCATTTGTGGGCTTGCTATGGAAACTCTACACAAAAACCTATATAGCGACCATTCGTAGCATGGCCTCAGGAACTACAGTAAGAACCCCAGCCTTGACCGAAACTAATATTCTTGTGCGGGCGTGTTCTGTGTTAGTGCACTGCCGCCCTCAGCGGTCTGTGGTGTTGAGACTGGGGACTATGTTATCCCAGGAACAGCTGTTAAAAAAGGACCACGTCACCCTGTAGCGTATCCGCCGGCCCCTGTCCCCACTTTGCTGTCGGCGTCTGGGCGTACCGACTGGTGGGTTGGTGATAGTGCCGCGTCTACCCACCGCACTAGCAGCACCGACTTCGTGTCGTCCCCGGCCGCCGCGATGGCCCCGGGCACCTCGACGGACGCAGCAGCGGTGGCGGCGGCGTCGGTGGCGGGGGGGGCGGCTGCGGCGGCAGCAGCAGCGTCGTCCCCGGTCGCCGCGATGGCCCCGGGCACCTCGACGGACGCAGCAGCGGTGGCGGCGGCGTCGGCGGCGGGGGGGGCGGCAGCGGCGGCAACAGCAGCGTCGTCCCCGGTCGCCGCGATGGCCCCGGGCACCCTGACCTGCAGCAGCAGCGGAGACGACGGCATCTGCGGTTTCGAGAGGGGCGCGTCGTACCCGTTTGACCCTGGAGGATTTTGTACGCTGGAGGTGCGTGTGGATGGAGAGGAGAAGTATGGTGGAGAGACGGATGACCGGAGCAGCGGCGGCCGCAGCAGCAGCAGCGGCCGCAGCGGCGGCGGTAGCGACATCGGTGACGGGGGGAACGGCGGCGGCGACAGCAGCAGCGGCGTCCTCGGTCGCCGCGTTGGCGTTGGGTGTCCAGACGGCCGCAAGGGCGGCGACGAGGGGTTGCATGAAACCTGGAGTGGAGCCCCGACGCACCCTTTTGATCCCGGGAAGACTGAGGAGGAAGTGAGCAGCAGCAGCAGCAGCAGCAGCAGCAGCGAGAACAGCGGCCGTGATGGGAACGGGGGTGAGGGGTTAGATGAAACCTGGAGTGGAGCCCCGACGCACCCCTTCGACCCCGGTAAGACATCTTTGCGTGGCGCGAGGAGACGGGGGGCGGTACCAGGGGTGGCGTACCCCTTCGATAGGGGCAGGAACGGGAGTGGCAGCTGCAACGGCGGCAACGGCGGCCGCCCCGACGGGAGTGGTGGCTTCGGCCAGAGCTCCGGCGGCGACACCGGCGGCAGCAGGAGCAGCGACGAGAGTGGTGGCTTCGGCCAGAGCTCCGACGGCAGCAGAAGACGGCAGCGGCGGTTTTGGCCAGAGCCCCGTCGGCGGCAGCGACGACAACGGCGGCGGTGGTAGAGGCGGCAGCAGCGACGTTACCGGCAGCCGTGTTGGCGCTGGAACTCATGGCGGTCGTGGCGGCGGGGGAACGGCAACGGCGGCGATGGCAGCGGCGGCAGCAGCGGTGGCGCCCTCGAGTCGACCGGGAACGGGAAGGACACGGTGACAGCGACGACCTCACCTTGTTACAGCCAAGTGGGAAGTCATGTGAAACGTTCACGACTTTGTTCGGTTTTGCGAGCAGTCATGGACGTTTTAGCTTCGCCATTTGGCTTCGTATTTTTATTATTTTATTTTTTCTGTTTTTCCCTTGCAAGCGCACCGTTCACTATGATGCAGAAAACACATGTGCCACGGCGTGTGCGTAGTAATTTTTTTTTTCTGTACTTGGTTTCATGATAATAAACGTTCGCTGCGACAAGATAAGCATCGCCACAACCTGTGGAATAGGAAGCAGCAGGTGGGTGTTTATTATTATTATTTTTTTCCTTGCTTCTTCGTATGTTTTCAGTCGCGTTTTACCTTGCAGCTGAATGCTTCATATTATTTCCCTATTCTTTGGCGGGAGTACGTTCAGTCGCGTTTTGCGCTTAGGGTGTTTCGATACTTTTTTTTTTTTTATGTTAGGTCCTGAGTTAAGCGGTCGCTCTCTGCGGTGTGTTTTTGGCCGCGCGCAAGAAATGGGATGATAGCGCGTTGCTTGACGTGCGTGAAGGCATGTGGCTCAGGGAGCAGGGTAGCTTTTGGAGTTTCAGTTGCAAATACAGTTTTCATACGGTACGAATTTTTCCGGAGGTTGATGCCATGAGTGTAACGTGTTTTCATGTTTTTGGTTTGTATCGCATGTTTTGCTGCTCTTGCATCGAAAATCATGGGGGGGGATGTCATGTATGACCATGATCCTAGAGGGCGTGAGCAGCAATCGAATTGGTTCGTTTTCTGGCCTTGTCTATTTGTGTTTTAGGTGAACGGCAAAGCAGGGGGGACTGTTGACATTGAGATATTAGCTCGGGGTGAATTTTGGGAGCTGACACCAGGGGGGCTGTTTGCGTGGATGCTTGCTTATATTTTCTATCGTTTCTTGGACAACAGCGACGGTACCGATTAGCGGGTGCGCGCTGTTTAGAATTTGGTATTGGAGGAAGGGTTTGACATGTTTTGACGATTAATGGTTGGGGCCATTCATTGTGCTTTCCGAATTCTCGTTTTGATTGGTCAAGAAGTTGAGTTTTTGTTTTGTTTGAGGATTTGGTGTCAACTCTTTTGGAAGTTGTTTTTTCCAGAAATGTCCGTTTTCGTTCCGACGCCTTTCTGATGTAGCACACATAATTGTTGGATACTTTTCTGAGGATGATTCTTTTGTGTCAACGGTTTGAGATTATTTCCAGAGACGAACGCTTTGGATTCGTGAATAAACTGATGGAGACGCTTTGTGTTGGATGCGTAGCCAGTTTTGTTGAATAAGTTTTCTCAAGGGGTGTTTTTCTATGTTTGCTGATTGCGTTTTTGCATTGGTTGCAAGATCGTACATCGTATCAAGTAGGGGGGCTGTTTGTGGTACTTGGATATGAGTCTGATCTGTGCATCCTCTGTGGGGGATACGCGTATTGGAAGTATGGGTGTGAGGGTATGTATGCGGTTGTGGTCCAAGTGCGGGGCCCCCGGGAGCACACAGCGGTGTGCTCCCGGCACTTGCCTGAGGGGCTTGCGTGTCGAAAACCAGCTTGCCTGAGGGGCTT